TTTCTCTCTTTGCTCAGAGCCAAATGTGTACAAGTGCTTTCCGCTCTGATCATTTGTTCACTTGCAACTTTTTGACACAAAGCCCGGATGGAATAGAATAATTTTGGCTGGAAATGTTCTGGTGAATTTTAGTGCCAAGTTCCACAGCTACAATCTCTTAAAAAGTAAAAAAAAATAAAATAAATCTCTTGGAACAGGCAAATCGTGTTTCGCTCTGTTTATTGGCAAACGTCAGGATAAAAATACAGATTTTCATAAATGGGCCGCGTTCATGCAACATCACCAAAAACTAAAATCCCTGTAGGTTAAACTGAGCTGGAGGAAAGTTCAGATTTTTATGGTGGAATTTGACGTTAAACTGTCACATTGCAAACAGGCTCTGTTCAAGCTTACGTCACAAACCAGGAAGACGTTTGGAAACAACGACGACGACTTCCTTTGTGCTCTGTTCGCGGTAGTAATTCTGACAAATCTAGGACTTGTTTCTGTGTAGACTCTGCACACCTGAACGGGCGACAGGTGCGCTGGATGAGAGGGACTTATCTGTTTTTAAAGAAAACTCTCGCACACTGTCTCACTCTTGGTTTTTCTTTTATTGGTACAACGTTTCAGACCTTCCTCAGGTATGAAGAGCCCCTTCCGCTCCCCTCACCCCCCCCCATGCGCTCTTCATTGTAACACTTTTTTTCATAACATTACATTAAACAGCAATTCATCATTTAAGCCTTTAGGACCAGTGGTGGGAGTAATGCCTTATAAAAGTAAATGTCTTATTTTACTTGTGTACAAATGTCAGTAACGCGCATCACAATGCATTTTTAACCTGGACTGAAGTGGTGGGTTTTTCGTTTTTCTTTATACAAATTCGCTAAAATCACCGCGATATCAGCAGCGGTGAAACACGCCCGCGTAGACCGTCAGGTGACCGCGGGCGCAAGGACCAACGCAGAACTCCACGGGGCGAACCGCAGGTGACACCCGATCGACAGGGTGTCTGCAATTCCTGCGCTTCCAAGTTCTAGTCCAAGATTAGTCCTTGTTCAGTCCTGTTTCAGCTCTAGTTTAGACCTGGTTTAGTCCTGTTTCAGTCCATATAAGGTGCAAAAGTTCAGCATCTTCACAGTTATTTTGGTGAGAGTAACATAAAAGTGCTGCAATAGTCATGTAATGTTTTACATTTTCATAAATACTACATTACAGTTTTAAAGTAACTTGCCCAACAGTGTTTAGGACTAAGAGTTTGTAGAGTGAAAATCCAATGGGCTTTGTGTCGTTTTAGCGCCCGATCATGGTCACTCCCCCCTCCGCAAGGCAGCCACTTGTTCGATCCCACAGAAACGTAAGGACGACTTATCATGTTTCAGTTGGTTAAAGTGAACAGCAGCCGGAGAGTCGGGGTCTTGGCGTCTTATTGCGCTTTTGTGCTCGCTTATGCTCGTTTTTAGTTTTCTTATGGTCTTTCCAATATAAGTGAAACCACACTGGCAGCGCAGCAGGTAAACTACATGAGTGGACGCACATGTAATGACGCGCCTAATGGGGAGTAGAAGGGTGACAAAAGTGAGACGTCTTTGTGGTGTTGTGGCACTGAGCGCAACTACCACATCTATAACTGCCATTAGGAATAGAGGCAAAGATTCTCTGTCGTGGGAGAAGTCTGAATGTACCAAAGTGTCTCGCAGGTTTCTGCCTCTTCTATTGGTAAATAGAGGTGGATCCTTAAATATTTGGGACAATTCTGGATCAGTGCCAGTGTTTTAAATGATTGATTTGATCCCATGGCTCTGGGGTGAATACACTGTGTTCAGTATCACTGAGAATTGTCTCTCTTTTTTATTTTCCTTCTTTAACAACACATCCTTTGGTTTGGATAACGTGGCAGTACACGCCTCTTCTACCCGCTGTGCAGAGTAACCTCTTTCCATGTATTTTGTTTTGTTTAGGGCGGGGCCATAATATCATTTTTTACTCATCCTGACCTTATCTGTTCTTATGTTGAGTTTCAATTGTTGACATTTTCCCATCCAACCTCCCGCTGCTGCCATGAAAATCGATTTCTGAGCTCTCTTTCAGTATTTACTCTCTCTGGGTCTTCACTCAAAATGATAGCTCACTAAAAACATTAATTACTTGTCCGTATGTTATTGCTTACTGCTTCGATTTTTGCAATTTTCCTCAAAAAACTCAATATAGGGATCGCTGGAAATGTTTACAAAACATGCACAACAGGTCAAATCCTCCAGCTAGTTACTTCTTTATGGCAGTACTACGAGCATAAAGTATCATTTGTGTTACTATATTTGGATTTTTTTAGACAATGTGGGGCTAAAATAGTCTCTCCTATTCATGGGAGTTCTGACCAAGACTAGTTCGAGATCTGGAGACGGTCCGATTACACTTTTACACTTTTCCTGAGCTCAGCGCCTCTCTCCTCTGCACCAAAAAAGACTAAAATCTAAAATGCCTTAAAGTGCGTGGGCGGCTCTCTCTCTCTCTCTCTCTCTCTCTCTCCCTCCTGTGTTTGCTGCACTTCGTCTGCGCAGCATAAATATGAGTTATTCTGGTGTTTGGTCTTTGCTTTGTGCTGTTTCTCACTGATGTGATTTAAAAACAAGACGAGAAAAGCACAACAACAAAGGGCTGCGGATTCAGACGAAAACTAATTGCAGTAAAAAAAAAAAAGATTCGGGAAAGTTTCTAGCTGTTTATTGATACGTTTAATTAAGGACTGGCGTGGGAGGGTGGAAGTTTTGGTCATGTATGTCTATGGTGGAATGTGCAGCAGTTACCGCGGCGATACAAAACACACATTACCAAACACTGACAAAAACGCAAACACAAAATGGATTTAAACAGCGCATTTTCAGGAGCCTTTGATAAATACGAGCGTTCATGGTTGTTTTTAGGTGTTTGATTTGAACGAAAAAGTTGAGATTGTCACTAGGGATGGGCATGATTAGTCGATTAATCCATAATTGATCATTAAGAATTTCATCGATTACGTTCATTTTAATCGACAAACCGAATGTAGGTTGCTGTGCGTAGCGTGGGGTGACCAAACGTCTGTGTCCGGGGACAAACGGGTCTGGACACTGAGAAGGAGCGAGCAGACACAAACAGTCTGCAACAACTCGCCGAAGCGCAAATGCGTATTTATTTATTTATTTTTAAACATATTTTATTAAGTTTTTAACATTTTAACACAACACACAAAACAAAGAGCAGTCTGAGCATGTGTTTGAGTTTCAGTGTTGGGGAGTAACAGATTACATGTACCGGAGTTATGTAATCAGAGTACAAATTATGAGTAACTGTATTTAGTTACAGTTACTATTTCCATGAGTGGTAATTGGATTACAGTTACTTTGTTGAAATAAATGGATTACACGGTGGTATTTTCCTGTTTTCACATTTTGGGCTAAACCAGGACTAAACCACCAGGTCTAAACCAGGACTAAACCAAGTCTAAACCAAGTCTAAAACCAGGTCTAAAACCAGGTCTAAAACCAGGTCTAAAACCAGGTCTAAAACCAGGTCTAAAACCAGGACTAAAACCAGGGTCAATTTGAAGAGAACAAACAAGAATTTTCAGGATGTGGTTGTTACATTCATGTAGTTTTAAAAAAAACGTGACAATATCAAGTAATCCAAAGTATTCAGATTACATTACTCACTTTAAGTAATTTAATGGATTATGTTACAAACTACATTTTGGGGTATGTAATCTGTAATCTGTAGGGGAATACATTTTAAAAGTGACCTTCCCAACACTGTTGAGTTTTTCTCATTACATACATATTACCCAATTAAGTAAGACACACTGACCCGATCAAACAGGCAAACCAACCAACCGCCCGCCACAGCACTGAGCCTGTACCTCTTTGTATAATGATAGTGAGATCACCGGGCAAGTAATCAAGAAAGAAATCATCATTACCTTTCAATTTTGCACTGACTCTTTCCATGGGTAAGACTCTAAATATTCCTTTATACCACTGGGTGACAGTTGGTGGCTTCTCTTGAATCCAGTTAAACAGCACAAATAGTAATTTAGCTACTAATTTTAATTTACTTGCAAATGCGTATTTAACGATGACTTGTACAAGAAATTCCACGCTTTCCGTTTTGGTCGGGACAAGTGTGAGTCCATGTGCACAGTGTATAAAGCAGCACATATGTTTCGGTGTCCAGTGGGAAAAAGTTCACCAGGACACCGAAAAACATGAAAAAGTTTTTCCAGGTGAGAGTCGCTCAATGTGGATGACGAGTCCCCACCTCCCTCCCCCCGTACGGTGTCCTGGTTTTGACAAACGCAAATATGGTCACACTAACCTGTATTCACCTGAGTCATGTCTTTTAATCCAACAGAAATTGACCACATCAGCGCAGAAGAACTGTTTTTTTTTTCTTTTCTTAGTTTATGCAAATTAGTCATGCGGTTTTAAGTTTTGTTTCTGTGAGACTTTAAAATTAAACACATTATAATGTCAAACGGGCTGATGTGGCTCTAGAGTCGTTACGGTTTATATGTTGTAAAGTTGAATTTATTTATGCAGATTAGTAGTGCAGATAGTAATAATAATGATGATCATTTTAATATTAAAACGTTAATGATTAATCGATAATCGATCGTTAATTCTCCCGACGATCGATTAAGAAAATTTTAATCGAATGCCCATCCCTAATTGGCAACAAACAATTCAGCTCACCTGTTGTATTTCCACCACAGTCAGCCCTTTTTTTGGTCACATTCTGTTAAAATAAAGGCTCAGATTAAAGCCTAACTTGAGTAACCGAGCTCCAGACAGAGCAGTGCCTCTAGTTAGCTTCAGCCGTATCAATTGTGGATGTTTCGGGTTGATGGAGGAAAACCCACCCAGTCACAGGGAGAACATGCAAACACTGCCAGAGCTGGGACTAAACAAGGACTCAAGAAGCACTTCATATTTGTTTATTTGTGTGTTTTTTAAATATTTATCTTTCTGTTTTTTTCCCCTCAGCTCTACAAACGAAGTGAAGAACCTGCTGCAGTCCATGCCCAGGACCAGTGAGCCTCGGGAGATGCTGTTCGAGGACAGGACCAGAGCCCACGCCGACCACATCGGGCAGGGCTTTGAACGCAAGACCACCGCCGCCGTGGGGGTCCTGAAGGCCGTGCGCTGTGGGGACGGGTGAGGGAGCGGCACTTTTGCTCTGATCTGTTCACTAGAAAATTGTTTATGAATCAGTTCTACAATCTGATGATGTCGTGATTTCAGATGGAGGACAGGAGTGTAACAACTTTTTTTTTTTTTTAATAACTCTGTTTTTATTGGTTTTAAGTAACATTTCAAAACATACAAAAACAATATAAACTCAAAAACAATGTAACAACAGTCTGGAGTTACAGGTTCTTATTTAAACATGCATTTGGTATTAACATTTTTATGTACTATGTTATTTTACTGGTGTCACTTATGAATACATTCCACTTTTCCTATTGCTCATCGTAGTTGCTCATTGCTCATCACCTTTCAGTTTAAAATTTTATGTTATTCTTTCCATCACTGAAATATTCTCCACAATCCTCATCCAGTCTTGTTGTGCAGGTGGATCTGGGTGCAACCACCTCTTTGTAATTCCCCTTTTTAGATGCAGCTAAGACCATTTTTGTCAAATACATGTCCTCCTTCCTTACTACACCTGATATATTTCCCAGATACATCACCAGACATGTGTTTGGAATTCCATATCCCAGAAAACTAGTTAAGGTTGTGTTGTAACTCTTTTTTTTTTTTTTTTGAAGAAGAAATCTCCAAACTTATCCATAAATCCATTAATATTTAACCTTATTATTTCTTTCCACAAACTTGCCATATTCCTAAGGCTCTTTCAGCTGATATTAATCATTTCGTAATAATAATAGCACCATAATGGCATCACTTCTTTGAAGCTACTTAAAAAAAAAAAAAACCTGTTAACTAGGGTTGTGCAAAAATATTGAAATATCCATATATCGTATCGTTTAATGTGATGATACAGTATCGATATTATGGGCTGCTGTATAGATGTATTTTTTGGTATATTTGACTAAATTATTTTGTTACAGCTACAGTTTTTTCGCTTTTTTAGAGGAAGGAAACTCGTTTAAGCAACACATTTGATCAAAGTGGGTGTGTTTTATATCAACTTTGCACAAGAAGTGGTTTAATGCTTTTAGTATCACAGCCATGATTTAGAAACAATGTTTTATTGAACCGTATTGAATCAATTGGAAATATATTGTATCGAATCAAAAGTGCACTTTATCGAAATATGTATCGTATCGTGGCCTATGTATCAAGATATGTATCATATCGTCAACTTCTTAATGATACCAGCCCTACTGCTAACAGAGAAGAACTTTGTGTTTTTCTATTTCCCATTGATTATATGACAGTGTCCAAAGAGTCCTAGTTCCTTTTGAGCACTGTTGCACATTTACATGTATAGCAAATCTAATATTTTAAATAAACAAAAGAATAAAGTGAACCTGATCAATTTAAATGTTAAACGTGTACCTACCTATAAATGTGAAACAGTAATTTCAATAACCCTCATGTCCATGAAATTAAATATTACTTTGTATTTTTAAAAGTCCATAAAATGTGTTCAGAAACCCAGAAATTAAATCTCTACAAAAGAATTATTATTAGAAATATAAATAAAATCCTAACATCCTCTGTGTTTCCAGCTCGGAGCCGTCTCGAGTGACCAAAGACGTGATCTGTTTCCACGCTGCGGATTTCCCCTATGTGGTGAAGAGGCTGCAGCTGGACCTGTACGAGCCGCCTCTCTCACAGGCAAGAAACTCACACTGTTTATCGTCATCATAAACACTTCTCTCTCTGTGCGTGTGAGGTGTGATAGTACAAGTATATTTTCGTACACTTTCTTCCTGAAACGACTTAAGTAGATGTAACTGATCACTGCCTACCAAATCTGATTAATGAAAATGTGTGTTGGATGCTGCCACTTGCTGGACAGATGTTGAACTGCAGGGAGTACAGCAGGGATCTGTACAACTAAAACAATTTAATCTGTACTGAAAATGTGTACTTTTTAAACTATTCATGAGAGAAAGTGAAATCCTGTACTGTACATAAAAGAAAATACAAATGTAAATAAGGCTGGATCATATTTTTAACAAATCCTGATGAATTGTGATCCCGTTGTGTGTAATTTATGTCAAACTCAGGCCCGGGGACCAAATTTGGGCTTCGATATAATTATATTTGGCCCGCGAGATCATATCAAATGTATATTAGAGCTGGCCTGCTGACCAGTATGGCGCATGCACCTCTAATACTACAAATCCCAGAATGCTTTGCAAATGTGTTGCCGCATTTTGACGTTTAACGACATTTAAAAGGAGTTTAAAAGCTACAGATTACAGCTATAGAGACATTATTTATTTAAAATGTTGTTTTTATTTTATATTCTGCTTGTTCTGGATTCAATGTTAAAGCAAAACTATTATTAAACTTTTATTTTAATAAGAAAAAGTTTAACATTGCATATCTCAAAAGAAGAGAAAACTTGCAGATGTTGTTGAATTTTCAATAAATATTTAGTTTGGCCCACGACTTAGTCCCAGTTTTTAATTTTGGCCCTCTGTGAATTTGAGTTGGACACTCCTCCTGGAATATAACTTTCAGTATTATTTTCTTGAACAAAAGCAACACAGACTTTTAATCATTGCCTCTTAACACAAAGTTGGATCTCTGCTCTAAACCACAACCTTTTACTGGCTGCTCTAAACCTCTCCATTAAAGAGAACCAGGCTGATTGATCTTTATTAAAATATGATTAATAGCACAGCTCTAGAGGGAGATGGGTAATGTTAGACTTATGTATAAATACGCTCATAATGTTCCTCTGTATTCAAATTAGAATCTTATTTTAGAAAACACATCACGGTTCAGTCACTATCTTGAGTAACAACAGTGCGTGACAGCAACGTCTTTCTTCTATAAATGACATTTTCTATAAATAAATACTTAATAATAATAACTGATTCTGAAAAACATGTTTTGAAGGGACAGTCTGGAATTTTGGACATAGGACCTCATTTCCTAGTGAGTCAGAGTGTTAGAGACATGTGGAGACACTTTTTTAAATATTCCATCCAGTCCTCGTATTTGCAGAGGTCACTGGTGCTAGACTAGTGCATGTCGGTGGTCATAGTTATCCTGCCACTAAAAACAGTCTTACCCACTCCACAAAACACCCCAAGCAAAACTATTATTACGCCAGACTGTCGTTGTGAATGTCTGTGTCAATAGACTGTACTTCCTGATAGAAAGTTTGGCAACGGCAGAATGATATATGAGAAAATAGTCCCTCAGCATGCGACGATTCATGTGATGCAAGGTTAGTTTTATTTCAAACATTATTCTATCAACACAGACATTTACATAGACAGTCTGGTGTAATAATAGATTTTCTTCGGGTGTTTTGTGGAGTGGGTTTTAAAGTGTTTTTTAGTGGCAGGAAAACTCTATTGTTAAACCACTTCTTGTGAAAGGTTCATATGAAACACAAACAGTTTAATCCTCAAAACAGTGAAAATGTCAAATGTGTCGCATAAACAAGTTTCCTTTCTCCAAACCAGCAACAAAACTGTAGGTCTGTAACAAAAGTATTTAGTAAAATACAACAAAAAATACTCTTGATGATATATTGATACAGCAGCCCACGATATCGATGCTGTATCATCACATTAAACGATATGATTCATGTGATGCAAGGTAGTTTTATTTTAGACATTATTCTATCGACACAGACATTTACATCGACAGTCTGGTGTAATAATAGATTTTTTCGGGTGTTTTGTGGAGTGGGTAAGACTGTTTTTTAGTGGCAGGATAACTCTTTAGCGACCTCTGCAAATACAAGGACTGGATGGAATATTTTTTAAAAGTGTCTCCACACGTCTCCAACGCTCTGGATCATGAGGAAATGAGGTCCTGTGTCCAAAATTCCAGACTGTCCCTTTAAGTTATCTGTTGCAGTTGTTCTGAGAAGCATTGCGATTGTGATAACATTTGCGATTTTTGTAGGATTCTGTTCAAAGTTCACATTTTGAACAAGTCCACAAGAATGGTAATAATGGCACCATAATGGCATCACTTTCTTGAAACTATTTAAAAAAAAAAAATTAAATACCCTGCTAACTAGGGGTGTGCAAAAATATGGAAATATTGATATATCGTATCGTTTAATTTGATGATCCAGTATTGATATCGTGAGCTGCTGTATTGATATATCTCCAAGAGTATTTTTTGGTATATTTTAAATTATTTTGTTACAGCACTACAGTTTTGTTGCTTGAAACTCTTTTATGCAGCACATTTGACATTTTCAAAGTTTTGATGAGTAAAATCTGTGTTTCATATTCACTTTGCACAAGAAGTGGTTCAACAAAGACTTTTAGTATCACAGATATGATTTAGCCTTTATTGAACTGTACCAAATCGATTTGAAATATATCGTATTGAATCAAAAGTGCACTGTATCGAGGTATGTATCGTATCGGCAACTTCTTAATGACACCCAGCCCTAGTCTCCAACACCTTGGCTCACTAGAAAATCAGGTCCTATGTCCAAAATTCTGCACTGTCACTTTAAGATTGTCTAAAAGCTCAACAAACTCACAAATCAGCTCACCTGTTGTAGTTCAGGCTAAGTCAGTTCTTCTGGTCAGATTGTGTTAAATTAAAGCTGAGATAAAAGTCTAGTTTCAGACAGAGCAGAGCCTACAGTTAGCGTCAGACCCCAGAGAATGTTGAGGCCATCAGCTGCAAAGCATCAATACAAATCTTGTTAAACTCCATTTGAAACTCTGAACCTAATGTCATAATTGGTTCATTCAAAGTATAGATCAGACTTGTAACTCTTTATTTTTGTATTTTTTTGCAGTGCGTTCAGTGGGTGGACGACGCCAAACTGAACCAGCTGCGCCGCGAGGGCATCCGGTACGCCAGAATCCGCCTTTGCCACAACGACATTTACTTCATCCCCCGAAACGTGGTCCACCAGTTCAAAACCGTCTCCGCCGTGTGTAGCCTGGCGTGGCACGTGCGCCTACAGCAATACCACCCCGAGCAAAAACCCGAGCAGTCCGAAACCAGCGAGGAGACTGAAACTGAGGAGGACGAGGAGGAGGAAAAGGTGAAGACGAAAATCGAGGAGGTAGCTGTGGAGATTAAGGAACCAAAACAGGAAGCGGAGAAGGAACGGAAGGTAGTAAAGGAGCGAATCAAGAAGGAGGAGACGGAAGAGGTAGGGCATAGGACTTTACCGAGCGTTAAGGTTAAACAAGAGGAGGCAGTTCTTCCAAAAAGTCCACCCGCTGCGTCTGTGGAACCGAGCAAAACGAAAGAGGAAAAAGACAGGACTAAAATCAAGGAATCGTCGAAAAGCAAAAACGATTCACCGGTTGTAAAGGTGAAATCGGAGCAGGTTGCAGCTACGAAGTCTGTCACTCCAACTCCTCTCTCTCCACGACCAAAAGCGTCAGCAGCAAAGCACTCCGAATCGAAAACAACGATGTCTTCCAAAAGTTTGACGCATGAAACAACGAATCGCGCGAAATCGCCGATCTCTTCGCCTTCTCCAAAGTCTTCCTCATCGCAGCTACTTTCAACTCCAACAAAATCGACTCCGGTTTCGTGTCCTACCACTTCGGCAGCAGCTTCTCAGCCTTCCTCAAACGTTGGAGCGTCGTCGGCCGCCAGTCAGACTTCTTCGAAAACCGCAACGGATTCAGCGCGGACAACGCAGCCTCGTCCTCCTCCCTCTTCTCCATCTCCGTCTTCGGTTAGTTCGTCTTCCCAGCCCCCGAAGGACGCTAAAGACGGTAAAGACTCTAGGACGTTTCTGGAGACGAGAATCCCGCGGATTTCGCAAGAGAGGAGCAAGTCGACGGACGAGAACGCGACGCAAAAATACGCGCCAAGCATTTCGGAAACGCGCGGGAATTTGATATCGGAAAATCGGATGCTTCCATTGCCAGACGTAAGGACGCATTCGGACAAGTGGTCGCCAAGGACAGAGCAGCATTCGGTGACCCCCGCCAGACCCCTCTCGTCCCGGGTTGTACCTGCAGCAATACGCCCCCCAGCACATCCACAACCACCCGCCTCCTCCTCTTCCTCCTCCGCAAAATCACCCGCCCCCGCCCATCCCGCCCATGATGCCCCCGTCGTACTCGCACCTCATGCACCGACCCCCGCCGATGTACCCGCCCGCTTCCGTCCCGCCCCCTCTCCAGCCTCCCCCGCAACCTCTGAACCCGTACCTCGGCCAGAACCACCACCTGGGCCACCTGCAAGCGAGCTCGCCGTCCCAGTACTACCCGCCGCTGATGCCCCCGTCGCACAACGCAACCCCGCCCCCGCCGCTGCCCCCCCCCTCCCCCGCCGCCGCCGCCGCACCTGACCCACCCGTACCCGCCCCAGCACCCGCACTTCGGCTCGCATCACCCGTTCTTGCCCCCGCCGCCCCACCCGCCCCCGCACCATCACCACCACCCGCACCCGCACCACCAGTTTCTATCGCAGCCCCCGGGACCCTATTCGATGCCGCCTCAGTACCACCAGCCGTACCCGCCCCCCCCGCCCCCGTCCACCTCGCCCCCGCCGCCCCCGCCCCTGCCCCCGTCCATGTACCCCCCCGTGCCCATGCATGAAGACTAGTTTTGTACATAGAGATATTGTTTAAAATGACGCGGGGTTGTTAAGTGCGACGTCACTTCCGGGTCCGAGGCTCATCAGCTGATCGAAAGCAAGTTTACAATTTACTTTCACTTTTTTTGGTGACAACACATCTCACGTTAAAAAGGGATCACAATCGCCAACCACTGACAAGGTTTTAAGCGCAACAGAAAGGGTACGAGATAGAAAAATGGTTAAATTGGTTAATTGAAAATGAAGTTCAAATCGATTTGTTAGGAAAGCAACTGATTTTTATTTTCTGCACTTTGTGGTGTTGTAAATTGTATTAAAAATGCAAAATGATGCTTTTGAAATCAGCGACGTCAAATTAAATATCGGGGCGCGTGATTTCCCCAGTGGCCAAATAATTGATCACGAAATACAATCTTTTCCGTTTTTTACCATTTTCTGTAGTTTGCAGAGCATTTTTAGTAGAGTTTTATTTTCTGGCTAAATGTCCCAGCCCGAGTACGAGTTGAACATAGAACTAAAATAAAATCTGGAAGGTGAACCCAAGATGGAGTCGTATTGTTTTCAGTGGACTGGGCTCAATGCCGCATGGGCCCAAAAAAATTTTTCTCTTCCGCATTTACTAGCGCTCCAGCGTTTGCCACATTTTTATATTTTATGAATATAACAAGAAAAGTAAAAAAAGAAAAAAATAATAATAAAAGGAACAGGAACAGAAGCCTAGGTGACACTAGAATAGTCTACTTTTGCATAAATAACGTCCATTTTTCCCATTTCTTCTTCATTTGTTCTCTTGCAATCTCAGTCTGAGTAACAAAGTTAACTTTTAGGCGCTTTGAGGATTTAAAATTTTAAAAAATTTTATGTTGTGAAAATCGAAAAGAATCCCCACAAAATCCGACCTTTGTGAACTTTCTCTGAACACGGGCTAGTTTCAGTTCCCAAAAAAATCCATTGCGCTTCTATGGGAGAAATCTTTTTGGGCCCAAACTCCCGGAAGCTGCAGTACCTGGAGCGGCCACTAGTCTGTCTCGAGCCGGGACAGAGAGGTAACTCCTTATCCAGTTTTTATTATAGATCCATGTAGTTGAATTAAGATGTGGAAGTAAGTGAGATATATCCTACACACTCGTAATCCGATATTATTATTATTATTTACATATTTGATACAGTTTGTGGTTAAAAATACACTTATTGTCACTAGTTTGGTGAATAAGGAACAAAAACAAAGCTTCAAATCTGCCGAGAAGCGGCCGATTGGACCCGGAAGTGACATGACTCCTTAAGGACCCTGTGATGATGTACAGAATACTAAAGAGGACTACTATGAATGCTCCGGGCGTAAAGATATTGGTTTGGCATGGGGGTATTTAAAAAGTTTTAAAGTGTTTTCTGGTTTTTATTTGAGTTGTGTTCAAGGTGCACTATGTAACTTTTCTGGTGGAGGGCTTGCTGTTTGATTGTCTCCATGGAGATTGTATTGCTTTGCCTGGAATGTTCCAAAGTATGGCTTTAGACAGTGTGGAACGGGATGAATTTTTCTGTCCGAGCTCCGAAGATATTTGTGTCTGAACCCGACTGAAATTACACGATTTTCATTGGCCGACTAATGAAAAGTGTAGGATAATGTTTGTGTTCTTCTAACGGACACAAAGACGCAAAATACAAACTCGGGATTGAGCGAAAATAATGAGAAGACTTTATTATTATTATTTAAATTTTAAGTGCAGCATCTCGTCCACATTAAACGTAGAGATTGTCCTTTGCAAATAATGATACCCACTCCACGAAACCATGATTTTAATCCAGTTTTAGGCGTTCTTTAAAAGTGAAAAGGCCGGAGTAGTTCCTCACATGTGTCTGTTTACATCCACGAAACAGCACGGATCGAGGTGAAGCTGCAGATCAGCGATAGTGACTCTACTTCCTGTAAACTTTAGCATTTAAGTTCTAAATATTTGTTCGAATGTCTCCTGTTGGACTTCGGTCGGGTTTCCAAGCTCTAGACTCTACCAAGCCAGGTTACAGATCGGGTCTGTGGAGACAAATCACTGCTCACAGTAAGATTAAGATTAGTAAAGCCACTGTACTTGATTTTTTTAACAGAATTAGTTCTTTTTTCCCCCCACGTTTTTTACTGGTCCAAAATTATTCCTCACTTACCTTATACATTCCGAGCATCCAAATTATTCACCACAATGTGTTTAGAAGGATTTTTTCCCATATTTCAAGGACCAGAATGGAGTTTCGCTGTTACAGTAATGCCAACAACTAGCATGCTAACACACACTTCCTGATTCTCGGACCGTAAAACAGACAGCAGGCTTAGTTTGACCTCAGTTTTACAATATATCGGTCGTTTTTGTTCAAACACACGGGGAAAGTCGGCTACAGAGCTTTTAGTATTAGCAATAAAAACACTCGGAATTGTTATTTTAATGCCGTACTGGGGGACATTTCAGGCAAAGCAATAAAATCCAAATTGGAAAGTTACATAAGGTGCCGTTAGTTACCACACGGGATGTCAAGATTGCAAAATTTTACATTATTCTGTAGCGGTGGAACAGTGGCGTAGGAGTTTAAAGTTGCACTGCGGAGCTTTTCTGATGGAGCGTCAGCCCGTCGCCATGGAGATGTTATCGCTTTGCCTGGGATGTTCCACAGTGTTAACAAATAGATCTTGTATTTATTCAATTACAGGCGGTTTTATCTCTCAAAACTACAGTAAAAAACGTAATTACCGTAATTTCTGGACTATTGAGCGCACCTGAATAAGCCGCATCATCTAAATTTTAACTAAATTTTAAAATTGTACATATATAGGATGCACCTGAATATGAGCTGCAGGTGTCCACGTCTTCAAGAAGGTTTTCAAGTTCGGGCGCCTGCTTTTATTGCCTCTGAAAGCTTTTGTCGTGTTTTCGCGTTGAGTCAGTTCGTCGCGCTGCCGTTGCCAAAATCTCACCATCGACTCACTGATGTCGAGCTCACGTGCAGCAGCTCTGTTTCCTTCTTCCACAGACACATCAATCGTCTTTAACTTAAAAGCTGCATCATCTGCATTTCTTCGTGTGTCCATGAGGAGGGTGTGAGTATGAAACGCAAAATAACTATTCAAAACACAGTCAAACGAGCATCTTCCTCGGCGCGTCAGCCCTGTCTCTCCTCGCACTCTACTGCTCATGTCTCCTGCAGAAAGAGTCTCTGTTCTGTCTGTATCATGTCAGTGTCTTGGAGGATTTTAGCAGATTTTAGACTCTTCCCGGCGCTAGGTTACTTGTATCGATCAGGTATGAGTGCATGTCCGGCTACGGAAGTTTGAGACGTTTTCTTCTCATTATTTACGCGCTCACCTGCATTTAATGCATACGGGTAAAACGTATCACACTCACTAATGTTCATAACTTGTTTTATCAAACGGCGATAAACTGTTTACTCTGGCAATATTGCTACCGAACGTTGCAACTTCATGTTAACCCTAGATCCAGCGGCGTTTTCTGTGCGCATCTAGCCTGATTCATCAGTCGGTTTCACTTCGAAGAAACCGTCTGACCTCTGAGTGTTAGAATTCGTTCGCTCGACGATAGGTGGGTACTTTTTATCATTTAACCAATCGCTGCTATTTGGTCGTGACGTATGTATATTAAACTTTTCCCAAATCCTGTAGGAAGAAGGACAATAACGTCTTTCCCCTTGATGAAATTCACCAAACATTCTCTTTGTTCCGGCTTTAAAATGCTGAATATATGGCTTTTCGCTGATTGGCTGGTGCCCAAACTCGCACTTCCGGGGTTTTTGCGAACCATCTAGTGTATTCCGATTCCTGACCTAGTTGCTGGAGAGAAATGAAATTGAGCGCAGGCACTAGGTGGCGCCGGTGTTACTAAACCATAAACCTTATACGTGAATGGACAATGTACCAAACAAAGAATACGTCCATATATTCGCCGTATTGTTTTAATATCCGCAGGGTTCAAAGTGTAAGAAAAAAGTAGCGGCTTGTAGTCCGGAAATTACTGTACTGTGAACAGGCCACAGATCTGACCTGTAACGTGCTTGTTTCCATGGAGATAGTTAAATTAAACGCCGTCCTGTAGAACATCCCAGGGAAAACCATTAACATCTACAAAACATGGAATCGAGCAGGTAGCGAACCCTCCGCCAGAAAAGTTACGCGGTGCACCTCACAGATAGAAGGTCTTTGGGTTTGATTGTAGAAACAGTCGGGGTCTTTACTGTGGAGTTTGCATGTTCTCCTCGTGCTGAGAGGTCCAGTTTTACGTAGAAAAAAAACAAAAACATGTTCATTAGTTTCACATGGGGCCAGACATTTCACATTTCAGTGGGACATTCCTGGTTAAATAAAGATTAGAAATTATAAAACAACATAACCAAAATATATACTCAGCCTTTGAAATCTCATGATCTAATTTAAAAATCTGTTATTTTGCCCTGTGGTCTAAGAAATTATTCACAATGGTTTAATATTTTTGGAGTATGATACAGTATACATAGAAAATATTTTATCAGAATTTCCATTTTTAAATTTTTAATTGTAAGATAATAATGAGGAATCTAAGTCATTGATAAATCCTGACATCCCTGTTCTGGCTCAGTACCATTGTTTAAAGGTCCTATATTACACAAAATTGACTCTTGTCAGTTTTAAGTCATGTTATAATGTTGTTACTTTATGAAAAAGATACTTGGAGTTGTGTTTTGTTTCATTCACACATGTTTGAGTAATCCTTAGGG